TTGACTAGAGTGAAGGCTTCAATGTCTCTGTTGTATTAGATCCGTAGGGCAGCATAATAAACGAAGTTCTGTACTACAAACTGGATGGCTTAAAACAACTGATGGTGATTCTCCACTAGTCACAGAAGCTGAAAGTCCGAATTCAAGGGCCTGTCAGAATTCTGCTCTCTCTGAAGGCTCCATAGGAGAAGCCGGTCTGTCGTTTCCTATCAGTGTTCTGTTTTGCTGAGCATCTGTGGTGTCCCTTGGCTGGTAGAGGCATCATCATGTCACTTCCTATCTCCTTCGTCATGAGAAGTCCTCCTGGTTTGTCCATTTGTGCATCACTTCTCTTCCAAAAGGGCATCAGTTGTGTTGGATTAAGTGCCCACCCTATTCCAGTATGACTTCATCCAAACCTGCATTTCAGTTCTATCTGCATAAACCTCATTTCCATATAAGGTTCCCTTCTGAGATCCATAGAAGATTCTGGATTTTTAGGGAGGCATTATTAAACCCAGCAGACCACTCAGTTATGTAGAAAGAACCTGCTTCCTGCTGATGGCTTACACTTTCAGTAGTGTCCATTGGCATTCAACCCCTTATCAGACTCTTGACAAAATGGTATAGACATGCATCATTTAATGTCATGCCCACTGTTGTTTCAAATACTTTACAATTTCCCATATAATTTTTAAACTGTCCAATTCCTACCAATCTTGTAAAATGTTTCTTCATCATGGAGAAAAATGTGATCCTTTTATATCAAATGATAGAAGAAAAAGAGAAAATAGCTCCTACCCTCAGGAAGTCACATAGTTAGAGGAAGCCTACTCTAGCGATAAATACTTTCTTCTGCTGACTCTGAATTGCTAGAGATGGGTTACTGCCTGGAGTTTATTTCATCTACAAAATATTGCCCATAGAAACCTAAAGTAATTAAAGGAGATTATAGAAGGTATTAGGTTATCTAATAATGTAGATGGTAAAGAGTGGTGGGTGTGGAGCTACTGTGTTTATTCAATCTTCCAAATGGAAAAAGTACAGCAGGTAAATGGCAGATAAATGCTGTTATTTTGTATTCCCTCATATAATGGGAGTGAGTTGGTGTGTATGTGTGTAGAGGGGTGTGTGTTTGTGTGTGTGCACATGTGTGTGTGTGTGTGTGTGTAGTGGGAAAAATAAAACAACCTAATAGGAAGTTGAAATGAAGTTGAGAGCTATCTTTAATCTTAGGATATTAATGTGGACACGAGACAAATCCTGCTTTGTTAAACATACAAATCTAGATGTTTTGTTATAAGATCTGGTGAAAATGATTAAAGTTAATTTAGTGACCTTAGCTTATTTGCATCAAGCTTGAGTTAACTAAGAGAGTTAACAAAGCAGTACTTTGGTGATATAGAATTTTTCATATTTCAGAGGGCTGAACAACAAACACACATAAGTGAATATTAAGAAAAATCTAAATTTTCTTCCTTTGCTTTTTATTCAGTAAGGATTTATTGTAGAAGATCTTATACTACAAGAATATTTGGGTTTTGAAACTATATCTCAGTGAAAAACTGTAGCCATTTTTAGTCAATAAAACAGATAATTCAGAGAGGTATTTATTAAAATATGATCCCTTTTAAATTTTATGTAAAAAATAATGCTTCTTTTTTTATCCAGCATTACTCTAAAATGAAGTTTACTTAATACTGTCACAGAATCATATTTATCAAATGTTTCTGCTTTTTCTTTTTTAAAAAATGTATTCTTTGGAAATTCTTTCTGAGTTCATTGGCTGAATTTTGGAAACTCAAGGCAACTGGAGGAAATATCCTAAAGTGAAATTAATTCTAGATGACTCATTCTTCCACAAAGTAAAGATCACTGCCCCAGCACAGTGACAGAACAATCAGATGCCTGAACATCCTAGAAGAAAATCATCCACAAAGTTTAATTTGCCTAAGTGAACGTATAATTCGTTTTCACATTTCTCAAAGTTTTGAAAATATTTTAACTTTTCAAAAGTTAACTAGATGTATTAACTTGATTTATTAACTATTACAACTATTGAGAAAATATGGGATTCAAAATAATAATACTAGACCCAATTTTGCTGTATCTTCCCATTGTAATTCCAATAAATAATTTCATTTAGGGCAAGATTAAAACAGGCATTGCAGGCTGGGAGTAGAGCTCAGTAGTAGATCACTCATCTAACATGTTAAGGTATTGAGTTTGATTCTTGGAACTACAAAAAATAAAAAATAAAAACAAAACATGATTTTTCTCATATGTATTTCTCAATTATACTTATTGAGACATTCTATCTTCACTTTATAAAGTAATATAATTCTCAAAAGCAATAGAGTTCCAAGCAGTCATTAAAAAATATAGCAAAAAGTACTAAGGAAAAAATAAATATCACTTATATTTTCTTTTCTCAGATATATATATTATTATGGTTTATGTGTTCTTTCAGGTGGTTGGATAAATAACATATTAAAATTAGTTTAATTTATGCATAATTTTTCTACTATTTAGCAATGTATGCTTGTATTGTTTATGTCTCATATTGGTTATACCTTTAGTATTCATCAACAACCTATGAATATTGTCTATTGTATAATTTTTTGATGGATGAAATTCAGCCTCCCTGAAAATTTTCCATCATAGTACCACAAATCACAGGGGAGAAAGACAGTATTTGTACTAGCACTAAAGGATCAAAATTTCTTTAGAGCTATTTGATCTACCTTTGGTATTCCACTGCAGTACACTTGTGCTTGCTTCAAATGTCACACAACATTATTGAAGTTTTTCCCCAAATCGTCAAGTAAATCCAGTGTTGTTTTATAATATTTATTAAATTGTATTGCATAGTCTGGCACATCACCATGGGGGTCCATGTACCCTACTTTTGAAAGTTGTTAAACTTATGATTTTCTAAAAGCATTTGGCTAAAACAACAAAGAAGCTATGCTATAGAAACTATACCCTGCGACTGGATTTTCCATGAGGGACTGGTGGTTCTGAGAGGTACATCTATTATATAAAGTTACAAAGAGAAGAGAGTTAGAGATTTCACACCAAAGGACTTGGTGGGTTTTACATCATCCTTGAGATTAAAATCTGTTGTATAAGAATTGGGAAAGAACCAGTTGACATTTAGGTCAAAGCTAGTGTCCCTGTTAACCAATCAATTATAATTGTTGTTATTATTACTTCGAATAACAGTAACTTTTCAAGGCAAATTTCCTACCCCCTGTATTAAGTTTTGGAGATGAAACAGATAAGTTTCTTGAGGAACTCAGAAGCAGTGGGGTAAGTCTGTGTACAAGAAAGAGAAGACTTTTATGGAACCACAGCTAGGAGGAGTGGAGAAAAGAAATCACCAAGAATACACATTTACTGTTGGAAAAGTGGAGGGTTTTTTTCCCTGAGACAAATGGTGAGAGAAAGAGTTTCAGCATGGAGGTGGAAAGAAGAAAATGTAAGAACTTTATTGCAAAACAGCTCTGTTTCCTATGCAAAGCAACTAGATCATCAGCAGGATGAAGAAGGGCCAGGAAGAGACAAGAGATTCTAAAATTGCTAGACAGAGGCAATGCAGGGGAATGAGAACCACCTGTGTCCCAGGACATCAGCTAAAGTCATATGCCGGTGCTTTCAGTGGTCCAAGTCTGCAAGGACAAAAGCAGTTTGAAAAAATCTAGGGTGCTGTATGACCATAACTTCAAAGTTCAATACAGCCATTATTGCACTGGGAAAACTGAATAATGGCATCTGTTATAGGAGTGACTGATAAATAAATATTAATACATGCAGTGTATTTAGCATAGAACCTGGCACAAGGTATTCATATTTATGTTGATGTGATAAAAAAGGATATAACAGAATCCAAAGTGCTACTCAGAATGGAAGTGAGGTAGCAATTATTCAATCTGACATTAAGGGGGGAAGCAGTAAGAGATTCTTTTATGGAAAAAAAAATGAAGGATTGAAAATCTAAAATTTCTTTTCTTATTAATGTTATTGGAAAACATGTCTGAGGGAATGATCAAGAAGTAAAAGACTAGCAGGCATGGTGGTGCACACCTGTAATCCTAGCTACAGTTTACAGCAGAGCACTTGCCTAGCATGTGGATGGCTAGTTACACACACATAGACACACATAGACCAGACAATGATTACATGAGATTTTTAAACCTTAAAATTTCAGGCAAGATTTCAGATCCTGAAAGTAACCATGGCAGTGAGTTACTGAAAAGGAAATTGATGAAAGTGAGTAGAAATGAGATGTCACTTGCCTGGAAGTTGAAACTGCCCAGCATTCAGGATCCAAGGAAAAACCACAAGAAGGTTAAGAATTCAGAAATGTGGCCATAAGGAAAAACAAACTTTTGAAGAAGATAATAAGAACATTATTTTAAAAGAGGCACTGAGTAGCTAAAAACACAATGCCTCTACTATCTAATGTCTACAACCTGAAGACTTTATAAAACAACAAATAGCCCCACTTAAGCAGAAGCATCTGGAGCAGCAGAAATTCAAGTTCAAGTTAATTTTTCACAAAGAGATTCATGGCAGGGCTTCTGTTTTCTTTTTAAAATATAAGGAGCATTCTAGATTATACAGTAGAAACAAGAAGAATGAAATAGCCCAGGGAAGGGGAAATGTTAACATGACTGTAGAAGACAGTCTGGAGGATAATGGAGGACCAGCATGGTCATTACCTTGATCGATTATGATAAACCTGTGAAATCAGAAAAGTGAACAATAAAGCTATATTAATGGAAATAACATTTTCACTTCCTTGGAGTTTTTTAACTTTAGTGTAAAGTTATTTTGTGGCCAGAGGACATGAAAATTTCATAGCAAAGTTTAGGAGCAGAAAAATTTTAAGTCTTACTGCTTATATGTCTGCAATGTATGAGTAGGATTAGATTTGGAGTTAAATGTAATTCTGCTGAATTTCACAATTTTTGTACAATATGTGTTCCCATTTCTTATTTTCTGAAGGAGTTACTTACCACCGGACACACACTCTGGGGTGAAAGAGATGTCATCAAGGGCAATGACGATGTCCTCATTTCCACCCAAATCAGCTTCGAATGCTACTTTAAATGGACTGTTACTGGAGAGAGATACATGCCCATATGTCCATCCAGTTCTTTTATTTCCAATCTCTGACCACACTAGGATGTCTAGTCCTGATTCCTCAATGGTATATACCTAAAAATAATAATAACCAGAAAAAAAAACAACTCTTATGATCGGATGTTAGGAGCCTTTGGCTATATAGAGGGTTGATTAGCAAAAGAATAAAGACTCTGATAATGTGAAAAATCAATACACTGACTATCATATTTTCTATCTATAGAAATTGTGGGTTATAAAGTCAGCCAATGCATGTTGTATGTTTTTTTGTGTTGTCAAACCAATCTGTATACAACAAATGGACATGATCAAAAGTGTAATATTCTTAAGCATAACTTAGAAAGTTAGAGGAGATATACAACTAAAATTTTCATTGCTTAGAAACTTTGTCTATGATATTACTCAAGTAAAAAAGGACCCTCAGATAAATAGATATGAGATTCTGCAAATCATTTCAGAAATCAAAATAATGTACAGAAAATATTTAACATTTTGACAAACAGAAAGTCATCTGGGGCTAAACCACATCAATATTTGGCACTAAAATACAATAATTAGCAAATACAACAAAGAAGTAGTGAAATATTAATAGACTTAGCTTTGAATCTAACAACATTAAATCAAATACCAGTATTTTAAAATTGAAAAGAATTTATAAAAAATGCAATTTTCTAGGGTTGTTCTGAAAATACGTATTTAAACAATAAGAAAAAAAAGGTAAGGTGGAAAAAGTGTTTGTTTGTTTTTAAATTCTAGAAACCAAACCTAGGGTCTTAAGCATATTAGGTAAGAGTTCTACCACCAAATCATGATGACAGCCAAAGATACTTTTCTACATTCTTTACTCAAATTTCAGTTATTTTCCTCAGTTTCTAAGACTAGATATATTACACTCTATTATATGCATATGCAGCAATAATATTCCTCAGAAATTTATTTATAATTTTTAACATGGTAAAAATAAGACCAAGAAAAGCAAAAATACATGAATAATTTTCTTCAATTGCAATGTACTTTTCTTAACGAACGTCTTCCCTAATGAAAAGTATTACTTTCTCCCTTTTCTTCTGAATTTCAAAATTCATTACAAAAAATTTATCCCAAATGTTTACCATCCAAAGAAGAAGTAATACTATTCATTCTATTACATAGGATGAAATTAAACTGATATTCCAGAAATAATACCAAGAATCACCAAATATTCCAGGGCCAGAAATTAAGCATGTTGCTAGTGGCCACCAGTATAAAAGGTCTAAGACTGAGTCAGAAATCCAACTGTTAATAAGAGTTAAACAAAAACAAAATCATGATATTTAGACTAAAGGATAATTGAAAAATTTGCTCAAACTTTGGAAACCTGAAATGTGAGAATAGCACTATAATCAAACTAAATATTTTGGAAAAGCAGACATTTCCCAAGCAGAATTTACTTCTTTATGTTGATACTCCATTTAATGAAATAAGCTAAGATACAACATGAAAGGAGTTTGGGTCAGTTGACCATTCTGGGACTCAGCATAAGAACTCATCTATCCCAGAGTTCTCAGTTCCAGGGCGTGGTGGGCACTTAGCCATCAAAATCATATAATTATTTTTCAATTTTCTTAAAAGTTGAAATAAAAAGATGTGAAGTTTGCAGTTCAACTTGCTGGTAAAAGGATCACTGCGTAGAATCTAAAGTGAGCTCTGCTTTCTACATAATTCCTGGTTTAATAAAACTGAGTTGAAAAGTAATAGCTTTATTATATTTATTTTGTAATCCCTTTTCTGGAAAAAATAAAGTCAATAAAGATAGTTACATGAAAATACAACCCCAATGGTCTCTGGTTTCCATTCAACTTTGATACATACATATTTTATTTATTACTGTGTCTATTTTTATTACTTTCATATTCAATTTGACTCTCTGAATTCAATCTTTTTACTCTTTAGTCAATTCAATGTGTTCCTGTCGAATTCATTCCCTTCCATTCTCTTTTCAGTGTATTTCTCAAAACCCACCATGAACTCCCTCTCTCCACTTTGAGTATCAGACTCTGGTAAATGTCAACACATCTTATGCCATTTTGTGACCCTACCACAATTCTGAATTACTTCTAGTCAAGTTCACTAACTTATTACTTAGTTCAATAAATGTTTCTTACCAATTTATAGGTGTCTTGGGAAACCACCAATGTATTAAATTGAACAATTACATATGAGGTCCACTATTTCTCTACTCACAGTGGCCAACAGAAAAATTAGGAGTATTATTAAAGAACTGCACATTATACTGTTTATTCATTATGACTAACGGGAAATGTACAAAAGGTTAAAAAGTATAGGAAATATTTATTTCTTCCAATTGAAATAATATTCATTGTATTCTGAGGGTGATTTGGTGATAATTCTCAGCAAAAGTTTTATTTTTAATAAGTTACAAGTTTATTACTTTGAAAAACAAAAAGGGTTAATATTATTGAAAACTAATAGCTTTTAGTTTAATTTATTAATTTCATATTAATATGTATTAGTATTATATATCATTAAATATTACTAAAAGCAATTCATGCTGGGGTAATAATTTATTATTTAAAATAGCTTTCTGAAAATTATACCTTGGGTGAATTTCCTTTGACATTTTAGTTTGGTTGAACAAAGACCTAGTAATATAGTAATGGTCATTATTACATATTATAAAGTAATGATTTTTTATCATGATTATCAATAAAATAAGTGGAATCAATGAATAAACAAGGATATTAAATTATAATAAAATTTACACTATTATAGCATTAAAATTATAGTCAAAGGTTATAATCAAAGTAACTACTTATAGGGCAGGAAAAGCTTAAAGAGAGAATTAAAAGAATCATACCACAGCAATATATATAAACCCATGTTTATAGCACCACAGTTTGTAATAGCTAAAACTTGGGAACAGCCCAAATGCTCATCAACTGGAAACTGGATAAAGATGTAGTTTTATAAAATAAAATGGAGTATTACTCAGCCATATAGAATGAGAAACTAGAGACATTTATAGCTAAATAGATGCACATTGAGGCCATACTCGTCAGTGAAATAAATAGGACATACATGTGTAAATACTGAATAGTTTCTTTGGTGTGAGAAACTCAAAGTATAAATGAGGATTGAAATGTATAATAGATAATGTGAAATAGGAAGAAAAAGTCCAAAGGTGAAGCAGAAGTGGGAGGGGTAGGGGAAAGGAAAGAAGGAAAAGGAATAAATATAAGAAAAGGAAAAGACAGGGACTGGAGTTCAATCCCTGGTACCAAAAAGGAAAAGGAAAAGATGGAAACAAAGCCTTTGTAAATAGGGAAGGATGGAGGAGTTGAAGGGAGGGCAGGGGAATGGGGTAAAAAATAAGAACCAAGATACATCATGTGAATTCTCACTGATAAATGTCATCATATTGTATACCTTAAATGTACCAACAAATCTAATGAATTTTAAAAATAGAATAAAATAATGAAGTCATCTAGTTACAAATGTTATAAGATTATCTACTTAAATGGTATGGGTTTTCTTGGACAAAGCAACTCTTCTTTACTTACTTAGAAATAACATTCTTTTGAAGAAAAGCATTCAATGGACATGAAGAAGTAACAGAAAATATGAAAGCTAATGGTAAAATTGAAGAATAGTGGGGATATTAGAGCCCAGCTATTTCTGCAATTCTGTGTATCTATATTTCCTAGGTGAATGTTTGAAAGAACCCGATTAGCAGCTTTTCCTGAGTTCTCCTGCAGCTTTCAGACACTCCAGGGGCCTGCAGCTTGGAAGGGGTCACTGGCCCCGACTCGGATTTGCTGAGTGGACACCTCTGGATACCAAACACTTTGTCCATTTGGTTCAGTGTTTAGCTCGTTAAAATCAGTGTATGAAAGCAGTCAGTGAGGAAAATGTGACCTTCCTGGCCCCCGAGGCTCTCAGCTCTTCTGCTAGAGGTCTGCTCTTTAATCACTACTGAGCATGGAAAGGACTGAGCTGAACTACTGCTTCATCCACAGAGGCACAGAGTTTCACATGGCTATAGTCTGAAACTACTCAGATTTTATATAAGAAGAAAGGAAACATAAAGGGAAATTTCCCTCAAAGATAAGAGGTGATAGGCTTTTAAACTAAGTTTATGAGGAGAAGAAATAACAACAATGCTGCCCATATTAATGAAATTTCACCCAGAAGAATATTTTATGTTATGGGAGCCTCAATTTATATGTGGGTATAAGGTAAGACTATTAACTGCCCACTACAGCTATGGAATTTGGGAGATAGAAAGTTAAACCAGTAACTAAATATATATAGCACCAGCTTGCTCCTTTTGGTCTACCACATAATGGGCTGACAAATCACTGCTGCAGGGCTCACAACCAAAAAATAACTGAAGAAAATGAAAATCAAAAGGTCTTCTGAGATTTCTCGCAAAATTGAGGCTGCAGAGAAATATCACTGAGTTTAAAATAGGAGTGTCATGGTTTAGATGAACAATGTTCCCCCAAAACTCACGGATTCAGGGGTGGGGATGTGGGAGGATGGTTGAATTATGGGGATGGTGTTCAGACCAGTGGATTCATCCACTACTGAGTCCACTGCCCAGTGAGCTGTTGGAAGGTGAGGGTGGAAGTGGAGGGTCACTGAGGCCTGCATGGGGGGCTCTGTCTTCTTCCCCAGCTCCTTCCTGCTCTCTCTGCTTCAGGGTCACTGTGAGGTGAGCAGCTTTCCTCTGCCCAGACCCTTGTCTCCTCCACTATGTTGTGGGGGTGAGGTATTGTACTCCAGCGACCAGGAAAGTGACTAAGACAGGAGGAGAGAGGAGGTACATGGCATCTCAACTTGTCAGGACAGAAGCACAGGATGAATACTCCTCCAGACACTAGTACCAGGGTAGAAAAATCTCACATTGTAATTGCAGAATTGCTAGAGGCTCAGTGCAGACAAGTGTGAAAAGTGGATACTATGGGGGTGGATTCTTGGAGCCCCACACCTCTGTAAGTTTTATCTCCAGAAGTCTTACAGGTTCTCACAGTGAAGATCAGAGAAACCTTGTCTAAATCTAACCTTGTCTCACC